CAAGTCCGATAGCATTCTCGTTGCCGACTCAAAAAATTATAAAATAATATATTAATAATGCACGATGTTCTCTAATTTGATCGTCTCAACCATCTTATTGTCTTATTGTAAGCGACATATTTATTAATCTATCAGTATCATATTGAAGATAATCCAAAGTAAAAGTTAGAAAAAAAAAAACGTTTATATTTTTTTCCCATTAATATATTTTTTTGCACATGATTAATTTGTGTTGGCTCGCATTGGTTTATTTTAAATTATATGATGTATTTCTTTGAATGTTTATTCTTCCTTGTTATATATTTTATATTAATGACAGGAGAGTGTCATCAACTCTCTATGATCCAACTGGGGATTGAAAAACCCAGGTGAATTTTCAACTTTTGCCTCAAATTCAGATGTATATAAAAAAAAAAGAAAAACATTCATATAATATTTACGGATCGTATTCTTGAATGTTGAAAGAGTGTGCCAAAAATTTTTTCAGACTTTTTGAGCTCAAAAACTTTAAAAAACACAATCAGACAGCAATGACCCAATTGAATTAGGAAAACATTAAAAAAATGTTGGACCACGGAGAATTAATAACAATATTAATAATAACAGATCAAATTGAAATTACGTGAAAATGAATAAATTGAAAAAAAATTGTACGGTCAATATAATATACATTGTTTTGATGGTCCAACAAAATTATATTTTTATCTTTATCTGGTTAAACTTTTAGATATTTTTCAGCAAAATCTTCTTTGTAACGCGCGTTAATGACAACTTCGCGTTCATTTCGCACGCAAATTATTTTTAAATGATCGTTGATTTATGTACATCGCGCGATACTCTAAGCACGTAGCACCGACCCTTCCTCCGGTTTGCCCCATCGCGAAACGTACCTCCGGGCTCTGCAATTTCCCACGTTCAAGTTTTTCCCCGCTATTTTCCACGTTTCCCGTGCACGCAATATGCAGGTAGACGTACACGTGAAGGCTCAAAGTCTTTCTTAAAAAGTTTTCAGAACCATGCAGAGAGAGAAAGAGAGAGAGAGAGAGAGAGAGAGAGGGCTGATATTACATTTATCGTACGATAAATTTTTCAAGCGTGTTAATTCGTTGCAGGAGAGATCAGTTCCCGATCTCTCTCTATTCTACAGCCCGCACAATCAACAGACTTGAAAAGTTCATCGTACGACAGATGTAACGCCAACCTAGCTCAATATTATGACAGAAAGATTGAATCTATTATAGTACGCATGATGATAAGCGTTATCATAATTAAATATCGTAGATAGATTTTAAACAATCGATAAAATACGATAAAACCATCGATAATTGCGTGTGTGTGCACATTAAAAAAATTGTCTATTTAACTATATTAATTTAATTTTCGTCTTTAATTCCATTAATGAAATAAATACATACATTATTCTGTAACAAAAGAACTAGAAACAAACTAAATGAATTTAATCAAATGAACAATTTTTCTGTGTATATACTACTATTATGCAATAACATCTTTACGTTTAATTATATGCACTTATAGTCAACGATTCACATTCTTCCTACCGGGTGTCACGCGCAAAACGTCGCTCTCGGCGAGTGACGTTAAGTGACGGAAGCAACAGGATTGTCGATGACAAAATCAATGAACTGATATCGACTACTTCACTCGTCATACAACTGCGTTCTCCATTCACAATGGATTTCGATAACAAAATGACAAAACTAGCTAGTGACGAAATTAATACAAAATTAACCCTTGAGTGGAGTCCGTGTAGCAATGGATCATTTGGATCGAATGCAAAAATTTTTGGATAACTGTATTCTGTACGATTGACACTACGAGGTCTTAAATTGTAAAAAAGAAATTTCAGGGTACAGACATAACAGAGAAGGAATAAAAAACAAAGAATAAATTTTAACCTATCGGAAATCAGATACGTCAGAACACAATTTCTGATAAGTTAAAATTATAGTTTTTATTCCTTGTTCTCTTTTTTTATCGTATCTGCACCCCGAATCTTTCTCTATCAATCGCCGTGAGATAGAGGCTCACTTACATTCCGTACTTCAAACAGAACCTTTAGAACTGAAGTGTAGGTCTTCACAGCTGTACACAGTTAAGAATTTTTTTTTTTTTTTTTT